ACGCCGACTTTTAATTCCACTTCCGCGTTGGACGACCTTCGGAAATCGTGGTATGACGTTTCGCTTATTTTGTTTCTCCACTGCGTTAGGGGTTTTTGTTCGTTTTACTGCCCTCTCTTTTAGCTTATTTTTTCTCCACATGTGTTAGGAGTATACTAGAAAGTTTAGGGGAGATCACTCCGCTGGTTCCTACTAGCAACAAGACAGAGGACATGTCGTCAAGGCGCTGAATAAGACAACGTTCTGATATATAGCATGAACAGAGATTTTGCTGAATGATTGTAACGTCATGAGAAGTATTATCTAGAGAAATTTGTAAATCGGTTGACGTCAAAATAACTTCCCAGGAAAAAATTTAAAAAATGTTTTTGACATTTTGCATGAGAACTACCTTATGGGATCAATGCATGGCGTCTTGTGATACTCTTTAAATTTTAAATACAATATAGTTTATTTATCTACTGTAGTTTATTTAACCATCAATGAATTTTTTTAGTTTATTTATCTTCAAAACAATATAATTATCTTTTTAGGAAAAACACTTTCGAGTAGAAAATATAGCTTAAAAATTGTATCATCTGTCCGATTCGAATTCTTACTAAATTCGACCACCAATTTCTTTAAGTATAATTAAAGCAAAAGTAATTTTATTCTAAAATTCGCATCAACGCACAATCTATGAACCTAAATATTTATGCTTCGGATCATTTCTTACTCGACTTCCTTACTCAGTTTTTTTGTTCTCTTTAAACTAACATTTAACATTTGATGTCTTTAATGTCCATTATTTTTTCTTTCTTTGGCTTGTTCCACTTCCAATTTATGAGGAAAAATTGTATCATCTGTACAATTAGAATTCTTTCTAAATTAGACCACCAATTTCTTTAATTAAAGCAAGAGTAATTTTATTCTAAAATTCGCACCAGCACACAATCTATGAACCTAAATATGAAATTTTATGCACCGGATCGTTTCTTCCTTGACTTCTACACTAAATTTTGTTCTTTTTAAACTAACATTTAACATTTGATGTCTCTAATGTCTTTTATTTTTTTTTCTTTCTTTGCTTTGGCTTGTTCCACTTCCAATTTATGAAGCCTACCAGTGATTACAACTGTTTTTTAGGCTATTCCTCTAGTTGAAGATGGATACTAGTTATATACTCCCTTTCATTTAAACAGACTGATTGAGGCAACTGTTTGTAGTTCAATCCGAGCAACAAAAATAAATCGCCCATCTTTATCTTTAAACTATTATAATAAAATTATTATATTATAATAGTTTATAATTATATTTTAATAAAATTATAAATTGTAGCCAACCAAGTTTCCTTTCTGAGGATATAATATATCTTGCTTCCTACTTTAAAATAGCGTAAAGACTATTTGTCTTTCGTAAAATATTTAATTTATGATATCTAACTGTAAACACTTGTTTTCTAACTGCAACGACGTGGCGCTTTCCCTAAAAAATGATTCCATAAACGAAATTTACATCGTAGCAACATAAGTCGCTTATTTTATTTACTTCAAAAAATGAATTTAATGTTGAATAAATATTTCTAAGGAAAATTTTATTTGCACATGTTTTTTATCATTTTATTTATTACATAAAACCCAATTATTTTGTAATCACTTTTGTAAATGAAAAAAGGTTCACTTAAAAAAATTTCTTAAATTTCGCCTTCAAAAAACTAAGGTGGCAACGCTAAGCAATATTATCAATAAAATGATTTGAATGTCGAAATAAAATATGGAAGGGGAAGAGAAGAAGATATGAACTTCTGCTTTGGCAAAAACAACAGAATGATGGTTAGCTTATTACATTTTTAAGCTAATGTATTAAAAGGCAGATAGGAAGTACAAGATAATGATAAGCGTGTTGACAATTATCGGGATCAATACGTGCGATTTGGGTACTAAGACAGTAGGAATAAGTAAAGTAAAATATTTTTTATTATACAAGGCATGTTTTTTGCTTCAGTATTTAAAAATTACAGAAAAAATACTTTTGTACATGTTAAGAACTCTTTTGATCTCGAATATACAGGGTGTCCACTAAAGTTACTTACACACACACTCAATTTCAGAACGACTGAAGTTATAGTCATAAAAATGGTGTCTAGGTAAAGTAAAATGGCTATGCGCTACACTAAGAGACTGCTTACATCGCCACCAGGCGGACGCATTTTTGCATCACACAATTTATGAAAAGAATACCAGCCTGAAAACATTACGTTAAAAAGACTTGTTAGCAACAAATTGAAAATCTAACATTTATTTTTTGTTTAGTCGCATAAGAGATTTCAAAAAAATTCACATTGATTATTTACAATCTTGGTATTACGTTATACGCGGTTGTATAAAAGAAAAGCCTTGTTACAAAATTGAGTTTAAAAGAATTTTGAAAAAAATTTCACGAAAATAAAATTGGTGACACTGAGAAGCTAATTTTTTTCACTTTTAAAGCACTGTTAAAATGTTTTTGTGCGATAATGTGCTCCGAACTTATTGAAAAAAACGTTAAAATTTCGATCAATTTTAAATTAATTAAAAATCCAATTAAAAATTTGAAAAACTCTTTTCTTAATGAACACTTGCTATCCAAGAAGCAACTACCTGCCAAATTTGGTAGCTCAAGATCAGAGCTTCCCAACCTGTGGTACGCGTACCCCTGGGGTTACCCGTAAAACCATTTGAGGGTACACGAAATCAAAGTTGTTAATGGCGAAACGACAAAACATAAGGGATTTAAAAATTTAGAGAATTTTGTTTCTCCAAATGAATACTTGCTATTTAATAACTATACCACTTGAATAGTTAATTATTATGAAGTGCAATTTTTAGCTCTCCTTATAAGTTAGAACGAAATAATTACAATACTAGTTTCATTTGCGTTGGCGTTTAACTAATACCATTGTAAAAATGGAATAAAATGTAAAATCAAAAATAAGTTCAGAAAATATTATTAATTCGAGTCAGATATACGACAATCAAAAGGAAAATTGTTATTATAGAGATTTTTTAGTAAATTATTGGTAACAACTAAAAATTCATTCCTGTTATTGCAATTTTTTAAAATTCTGTTTAAATTGATTAAAAATTAAGTTTCTGAAGATTCTACAATCAAGATTGGAATGATACTAGTTAATTTTGCTTCTTGTTAGGATTTTTACTCATACAAATTTGTATGCGAATAAAAGCATCAAAATTCATTTAGCTTGAAAGAATTGATAATTATATTAACTTTTGTCGATTTCTATTTGTTTGAAGATATATTTAGATCTTCGGTTTCTTTTATGTATATTCAGAAATGAGAATGTTTTTCTAAGGAATAGCACAAAAACATTTTGGAATTCATTTTTTATTATCATATAATTATCTATAATAACATAAATCAAAAATAGTTTTAAAAAGTTGAAACATAAACTGATTTTCACACACAGCAATGTAACAACTAAATTTCAACAAAAATCAGCAGTTATTTGAAATCATTTGATAAGCCATTAAAAGACTTTTAAAAATACCAATACATATAGCATTATAACAAAAGAATAAACATTCGTTAACGTAAAATGACTTTTAAACAACACATTTAGAAAATTATACGTTTAAAAAATGTCGCCGTTATTATTTCTCAAATGCAAAATATTATTCATATTTTTACGTATTGACATTTTTATAAAGATTGCAAAAAATACACAAAAGGAAATTGGTATTACATAAAATATTAAAAATTCTATGAATATTTTGTAACTGAACACAAAAGGGATATTACCTCTACATAAAATTTACCTTTTCAAAATGCTTTTTAAAAAATCTAAATCAATTTCTTAATGTTCTACCAAATCCATATAAATTTGATAAAAATATTTGTCTATAAAACTTTTTGCCCCAAAAAAGGAATTTGATCAACACAATTATTCAAAAATTCATGCATTACAATATGGACGGAAGATGTGATGTACCAAGAAAAATGAATTCCAGACAAATAAAAGAATGATTTTTTTTGTTCCATTCTGCAAATTATTTTCAACAGGAGCATAAACCATTAAAGACATTCTATTTTTGGAATAAATTTACTGTGCAGCTTTTGGTTATTCTGGGTGAAAATAAACATTTATCATTTTAACAACATGTGGAAATAAGATTATTATAAACAAATATTTATATCAATCTTTCTTCTTTGGAAATAAAATATTTAACAAAGCAAATATTTAAATCTTTCTAAGTCAACAACAAAGGAAATGAAAATAAACAAATGAAACATAAAATGCATATTTGAGCAAGATCCGTAGAGTTAGAAATGCAACAGAACCTGATATAAAATACAAAGAATACTTGAAAAATTGGTTATAAAAGTACCATCAAAATATAACTTCGCTGAAAAGAATAAAAGAAATACCCAGCACAATATAAAAAATTCTACTTCAATATAAAATAACAAGAAAAAGAGATAAAGTACTCCCAAGGATTAGCACCTCTGTCCACAACACAAAAATAAACAGAAAGATCATATAATGCAAAAATCAGATTTTTAACCTTTAGATTACGGGCAGATGAAATTTCAAAATGACTGTTTAAAAAGGGGTGTGTGGTAATATGTGTGGTGTAACTATGTGTGGCTTTCGATATGTCCATGAGTTGAAACATCTATGACATCATTCAACAGTAATGCGTTCCTTCGTAGTATTGAAGTTATCCGCAAATTAAAACTATGATTTGCTTACTCCATTTTGACTACATATGGGGTTATCTCATTAGAAATGAAACCATCAATGACATTAACCTTTAAATGCCCAGTATTGCCTTTAAGCAACATTACAACCTTAAGCAAATTTTGAGAATAAAACTGTAGTTCTAATGCTTGTTGTTGCCAATAGGATACATACTGAAAATGTTATTAAATCGATTTGAAAATCTAAAGATAGCAGCCTGAGTGCTGGTTGAAATAATAAATTGATGTTTTTCACTTGAGGCTGTATCTTTTTTGCTTTATTTGTATGCTTAAGGGTGGCGCAATCGGCTAGCGCGTTCGGTTGTTAACCGAAAGGTTGGTGGTTCGAGCTCACTAGGGGACGGCTCCTATTTTACACCCTCTGGGTAGGCTGTGTCGGCGTGGGCGAATAAATGAATACCATATTTTATTCTACAATGTTGAAGGAAATTCCTTATCCGTATTATTAGTTCTGAAAATTCATCTGCAGGGCGGATACAGAAACTGCGAAAAAAATTTAACTGACTTTTCCCTGACTAAATTTACAACATTTTCCTGATTTACGGCTACTAATTATATTAGCTTCCAGGCTTTCTCCCTACTCAGAATCTCTGTATGTGTACAATATGCAATATTAAAAATACTTTTACAAGTTATTTAATATAAAAAAAATATTTTGATGAAATTTAATTTGAAAAAAATGGAATGAGCATCCTAAAAAAACTATTAAAACAGTATAGTACATTTCTTGTATGTAAAGAATATTGGGAATTTTAAGAAAATACTTTGCTTCTAAAACTGCATAATAAGAATCATTAAAACTATTCTTTGCAACACAAGCTAAATTATGTTTACAGTACAGGTTATTACGATTTTTGCTCAAAACTTTAAAATAGTTCAATAAGTAATTAGTGATCTTTGCATAAATACCAGAATAATATGTTGTAGCATAAATATAAAAATGTAGTATAATTATACGTACCTAATAATATATATTTTAGCAAAGATTTAAACAAGAGAAACTGCCAAAATATTACTTCAAATCTTTATTCTTTAACAAATCATAAGAAATTAATTGCTCTAATCAAAAACTTATACTTTTAAAAATGAATATAAATTTTTTTTAAAAAAATTCCATTTATTATTACAAATAATGCTAAGCATAAGATACTAATTTATAAATAACTCAAGTAACAAATAACAATTAATTTTTCCAGATTTTTAGATATTTTTACGATTTTTCCAGATGGATAAAATTCCCCGACTTTTCTCCGATATCCCGGTTCTGTCGCCACCCTGATCTGTGATTATTTATATAATATTAAAATTATATTATATAAATAATAATATAGAATTTTATCAAGGAAATGTTTTTCTCAACTAAAGCCCAGTGTAGTCGATAGGTAATCAGCTGTTTTGCCATAAATCATGTATAAAACAAAATAGAATTTTAAAAATTACTTTTCTCGTGTTCTATTCAAGAAATGAAAGTCGAGAAACATTTTTACATCAATTTTTTAAAAATCGAGCATTTAAGGGTTAATTCAAGCTGTCAGTACTTTTTAAAAGACATAGAAACACGTCATTTACTGGTGATGTGATCACTCATAGATGTTTACGTAGTGTCAACCTTAGGTGCCTTTAACTAGTCATCGCACATGGGAATAACATAATATGACCGGAGGGTAGGGTAAAATATCTGTAGGGTGATTGGAGGAAAGAAATTAACCCTGTAGGCAAAAGAGGAAATCCTAATGTGTTAGTGGTAAAGTGTAAGCAGAGGAAAAAATTGTACTGGCACAACATCTGTACCGCCCGTTAGAAAAAGGTTAAAGATCCTCTGAATAAATGAAACTTTATTATTGTAACAGATATGTCATAAACTCTATACCCGCAAATATTATAAACTGCAATGGATATATTGTGTTTTTCATGTTGCGCTAAAAAGTCTAAAATACAAACTAATTAACAGATGACTATACTGATGTATTTCAGATATCAAATGAGTAGAGCTCTCTGAGGTATTTGCTTCGGGCGGCTACACATCACTATGGAACTGCTTTTTCTTTTCTTCCATTGGCACGGGCGTACTGGTTCGCTCCATATCCTCCATTGGAATCTGAAAACAACATTGGCACAGATTTTAGTAAATATACAAGTTGGTATAAATATATGGAAGATTTTAAGACGCTTATATTCAACTTAAAAGTTTCTGTGTATTTACATGCATCACTCATGAATATTGTACCCAGTTTTCTCGACTATAGTCTGAGATTCTCTACTTCAGAGGTTCCCAAACTGTGGTACTCGTACCCCTGGGGTACGTGCAGGACCAATCAGGAATACGTGAAAGACCAATCAAGGGTACGTGAACGAGCAATCAGGGGGACGTGAACGACCAATCAGGGGGACGTGAACGACCAATCAGAGGTACGTGAACGACCAATCAGGGGTACGTGAACGACCAATCAGGGGTACGCGAAGGACCATTTAGGGGTACGTGAAGGACCATTCAGGGGTACGTGAAGGACCATTCAGGGGTACGTGGAGGACCATTTAGGGGTATGCGAAATCAAAGTCGTTAATGGCGGCAATAAGAAAACATAAAGGATTAAAAGAGTTGTGAGAATTTTATTTCTCCAAGAGAAAGCTTGTTATTTACTAACTATATCACTTGAATAGTTGATTAATACGAAGTGTCATTTTTAGCTATGCTAAGTTAAAACAAAGTAATTACAATACTGGTTTCATTTTCTTTGGCGTTGAACTAATACTATTGTAAAAATCTATTGAAATGCAAAATTCAAAATAAATCCTGCAAATCTTATTAATTCGAATAATTTCACTTTTACGTTCATTTTCAATCACATTTAAGCTAACCTTAACATTATTGATAAAAACTTCAATGCATAAACGGATAGTTGGGGGGGGGATTGATATGATAGTAGGGGGCACGCGAAAACAAAAAGAATAATCAAGTGGTACGCGAGGGAAAAAGGTCGGGAACCCCTGCTCTACATATTAGCGAGACGGGCCAAGCCAGAACAAAAAGTCAAAAGCTTGATTGTCCCTACTAATTTGGGAGGTTTGGTCCCTTAACCATTATCAATAACGATAATGAAAGTCTACATAAAATGGAAATAAACATATTCAATGGAAATACAATATCAAACTAAATTCGAATGATCGTATTCTATATGTAGTAGAAATTCGAAAGAGAATTTTTCAGTAATAAATTTTTAAATAAAATCTAGTTAAATTCGGAAGAATGGATTAAAATAATTCCAAAATTCAAATCAGAACAAGAGGGTCGAAAATCAGATGTCTGATCGCTAAAGTTAAACCCCCTACAAACACGTATTCTCTACATCTGATAAGAATTCAATATTTCATCATATTTAACGGTGAAAATCTCGCCAATGGAAAATTCTAAGGTAATAATTGTATTCAAAATGTATGAAAGACATAAAAATACAGAAGTTTAATAATTATTCGCTGATCAGGAACTAATCAGGATACACACACTAAGTAAATGTCATTCAATTTCCATTGTCAATTCAAATCCCCCTCTCTCTCTCAAAAAAATAAAGACAGTTCTTTTATAACAGACGGACATCACAACTAATTGATCGTTGCTGCAAATGAAAAAACGAATAGTTAAAACGAACTTCAAAAAATTTCTAAATTTGACTAACTGTGGAAATTCATGCTGATTTTATGTTTAATTCAAGTGAATGTCATGAAAACATTAGAACAAATATGAAATAATGCAGAGGATCTATATAAGGTTTAGTTCCTATTACATATCAAAGCTTTTTTTATTTACGCTTAATATTAAATATAATATATTGATAAAATATTAATATAAATCAAAACCGGCAATATCTTATTCATGAAAAGTGTTATAATTTAAAAATCTGATGAATAACTTTGAAATCTTATTATATATTTTCATACATTTAAGTTTCAGATCAACAAGCCTCAACTCATATGAACAAATCCAAATTACTAATATAATAAATAGCCCAGATGTGTCTCTCGGTAACGCTCTGACGTCACCAACAATAAAATTCGTACCATCGCACTGCGAGACGTTAAACAGCATTATTTCATTGTTAGAGAAACTAGATTTCAGAAATTTTAAATGTAAAAGTAATTGTTCTAATTTCAAATTGAATAGCTCTAAAATAGAGAAATAAAATTTGCTATCGATTGATATAAAATTTATCTCGCTATGATCAGTATTTCCCGAGAAATTTTAAATTATATTAATCATATATTTCAAATTAATTTCCGTTTTTTAATAGAAAGTAGTAAATTACGTCAGTGGTATATCATGCGAGTGATATAGTTTGGACGCCACGACGCAATTGATTATTTTATTGCAATCGTGAAGATATAATTTGATAATATTTTTTGGCAACGTTTGCAAGCAGAGAAGTGCTTTGTTTTGATTAGGATTTCGAAAAAGAATTCCTTTGAAATTTTAACTTACGTTTGAGAATTTCATGCTTATTGAATTATAATGTACATATTTTGTCTATATTTTTTACTATAATTCAATACTTTACAATCATGAATTAGTTTACTATATTTACGATGAATACCGACGAAGAAACCATCGCAAAAAGACGGCAGATAACAAAGGAAAGGAAAGCAAGATGGTTAGCGAGGTATATATATATATCTATTTAAACACTATGTACATAATAATTCACCCGTCGTACTATGAAGGGTGATTTTCTAGTAATTAATAACAACTGAAAAATATTGTCTTTTAAAATAAATCTTTAATATATTTCCGGAAGAAGAAAAATACATTAATTATTTTCCATAAAATATTTTTTTATCTTTGAATGGCAGGCATAAAAATGGGAGACTGCATTTGGATTCAATTTAAAAAGGGAAAAGAAAATTTTAAAATATAGCTAGTCTGTGTTATTTTTTGTTTTATGTATTTTATCTCCTCTATCTAATAAATGTCTACTTTTCATAAAAACAATATAATGCCAAAAATACAACTGTAAGATAGTTTGGCAAAACACTCAAAAAGCTTTCATAACTGACTGATATTCGGAAAGAGGTAAAAACACACTCAACAATACAGAGCCCACGAAGTCATATCATTCAGTGACATCTGTTTTCGTTTAGCTCATTTGATTTCAAACCGATGGTGCTCGTGCAGACAAAAGAAAAATAACTTCTTGGAGCTCTATACTTAAGGCAGGGCGAAACTTTCTCGAAATTCCACAGTTGCATGTGCAGTATGAATCATTTTCTAAATTACAGAGAAGAGAGTGGAACATCCATTCCAATCTGAGAAATAATAGTTGGCAGGAATGATGGCGAGAGCGATAGGAAGAC